AGTGGTTCAATCGTAATATTACGAAGCTATAAGAATACATTTCTATGCAAAGAAAACAAAAAGAACGACTTTATTCAACAATTCGTCTCCTCCGCGTCACCCTGGTGCCATTTTGGAGAATATCCGCTGGACGTAAACAGCGTATTCTATTCTGTGTCAGCTGCGTGACAGTATTCTCTTAGCTTCGTAAAATTACGGTTGAACCCCTGATGTCACATGGATTATTTTACCGATCTCCTTGCTACGTTCCTGGACCTTGATCATGGTAATTACATTGCTGTCTATGGGAAGGTCAGAGAGCTCTCAGAATTCATCAAAAATATCTTAATTTGTGTTCTGAAGATGAACGGAGGTCTTACGGGTTTAGAACGACATGAGGGTGAGTATGACAGAATGACAGAATTTTAATTTTTGGGTGAACTATCCCTTTAAAGAACTTTATGCAGAGTGGAAGGACGGATCAACAGTAGCACTTGAATTGGGGAAGGATTAAGGAGTGTAGGAGGAATTGGATTTATTGTGTCGAGCGAATGGGCAAAGCATAATGATAATTTAGATGTGTCCAAGCCTTGTTTTGGCATCCTCACCCTTACCTTTCCCCAACAGAACAAGTTGAACAGCAGAAGATGAAGAGGTAGAGCTATTTTATGAAGACCTTGAGGAGGCAATGAACATGCGCTGCATCTACCTCGTGGTGATGGGTGATTATAATGCAAAAGTTGGACACTGCAAGGTTAACGTCAAATTCATTCATGACAGCCGTATGAGACATGTGAAGACCAACGCAACACATGGATCCACTAACTCTTACATATGCTTAATGTTTATGATTCTTTTTGGCACCTGGATGTACTGTGCAGTGTTAAGCTGTGGTGATGTTTCCTTGGGACACTTTAGGCCCCATTATCCCAAAATCACAATCCCTGACAGCTGTCAGGTATCTGAACATTGTTGTGGACAAATGGGAACTGTGTTCCTTGCCGGTGATGGCCATTACCAACAGGATAATGCACCATGCCACACCAGATAATGCACCATTCCAGCATCATCAAGGAGTGGTTTGCGGAACATGATGGTAAATTTCTGTTAATGCCTTGGCCTCCAAATTCACACAAACCCAATAGAAAAGCGGGTTTGCACTACATCATCACCACATGTGTGTGTGTGTTTGTCTGTGTGTATCATTAAAAAAAAAAAAAAAAAACTGGGGTCAGTAAGATTTTTAAATGTTTTTGAAAGAAGCCTCTTATGCTCACCAAGGCTGCATATATTTACC